TGCATATACTATTATATATTGTACATATATTAATTAGTTTCAGATTTAGCCATTCGTATATTTTGCCTGTTAATGTTATTGTATTTTGCACAACTCTGTTGCTTGTGAAGCTCGCACACAAGAATTTCACTCGCATGTGCTGTACCAATGTACCTGCACATGTGATGTGACAATAAAAGTGATTTGAGATACTGTAGGTTCAGTGAATGCTTACATTTCACTGATTAGAATATACTGGACATTCAAAGCTAAGATTCAGCGCACTGTGTTTAGAGGCTGGGATTGGATGAACTCATCATATATACAACCTTTGATCATCATTTATGTCCAGTTGAGAATTAATCTGTGCACTCACATATTAAATGAACTGAAATCAGTAGTGTGATCTCCAGTCTTGATATATTGAATGAGAGAACTGACAGCTGTTATTTTAATCAGCCTGTCTCAGTTGTTTTAACTCTTAAGTATCACAAAATAATGTGGTAACATCTGGACTGACGAGTTTACTGTCAGCATTTTAATCGCTAGTTTAAAGGCTGTAGGTTGCAGCCGTTGCTCTAACACTGTATGAATGTAACAGGGCTCAGTGCTGGTTCTAATAGCCTGAGCTGCTTCCAGCTTTATTTGTGAAGAGCACAGCAGCTTACAAAACACGTAGCCAGCTCGTACAGCTGCGACGTAAAATTTTCATAAGCTAAAATGACCTTAAAATAACGGGGCTACATGCGGTGATGCTAGCGTTAGCCATGTTAGCACGTTACCTTCACAGGTGGTCAGACTGCGTAAACAGGCACTCAGTCAGAGGTTGGGCTCTCTGTTTCGCTGCAGGGTCCCTTCATCCTTCACATATCCGTGTCGAGCCGAATGTAAATCCCGAGGCTGAACGGCCTTTGTACAAGCACACAGGCTTCTCAGCAGGGCAAAGCTATGAGCTAGAAAAATCCAGGCTGGCAGGCAGCCAACATCTGTCCAACCAATCAGAGAGTTCCTTACATCCCACAGTGTGGCTAATTTGAATAGCAGCAGGATTTTTAAAATGAAGTTGTTAATCCAACTGCTAATCCACATGTTAATCCCTGAGCGAACAGGAAAGGGAAATGGATTTTGAAATGCAGTTTATTAAAGTGCAATTCGAAAAAGATTTTTGAAATGAAGTTTATCAAAGTGGAATTTGAAAATGTTTTTGAAATGAAGACTTAAAAAGCATTTTAAAAATCAGTTTATTAAATTGGAATTCAAAAATGAATTTACAAATGCAGATTTTGTTCTACAATTCATTATTTAAGCACAGAATTCTTTATTTCGATGCGCGCGGCTCTTGTGGTCCTCCATAGTAGAAATGTGAGATAACAAGAAACTAAAACAATCTTCTACTTTGTTTTTCTGAACTTGTAGAAATGTCACATGCATATGTGGTTATGCAGGTATAGATTTACTTAAATATAACCAGTCCATATATTGGTCAACTGTGACAGTTGAACTCTACCTCACTGAGTAAGGAGACTAGTTAGAACCTGAGCAGAGGGTTAACATATGATGTCAGTATTATCTAAAGGTCTTTGGAAGAGCTATAAAAGGGGTAAATGCAGTGCCAAGTTCTGCATAATCAATACAGTTAAAAGAAATATCCAGTTCAATAAATTCAGATGAGCAGAAATATGACAGGAAGTGTCAGTGAATGAGTCCTAAGCACAGGGATAAGAACCACTAGCTGATCGTATTCATCTGGATCTTGTTTGATGATGTAAGATCAGAACATGAGGACTGACTGGGCTGAGCCTGTTTCCTGGGGAAACTGGTCGGAGGGTTAATAGGTGCTGGACCATACTGTCCAGTCCACTTATCAGTGCTGGCAGTCATATGTGAACCTCTTCAGGGATTCAAAGTTACTTCTCTTTAAGAAAAATTTTACTAGTCTACATACATCCATTTGGACACATGCTCAGTCATCTCAGTCACCTGCCCCTGTTCCAAGCCCACAGGTTGTTTAAGAACAACAAAAGCCCCGCCTCGCACAAATCACTGGGGTGGCTATAAGTCCATTCTGCAGCTCTAAGGTAGTTTAAAAACTCCTGCTCCCTATTCAACACTTTAAGTAGTTAAAATGTATTGAAAAAGTTCTAAATCCATTTCTTATGTTGTTACAAGCTACCCTGCTCTCAGGTAGTTAAAAAGTGCACCGAGCCCGCCCTCCAGCACCTCCTTCACTGGTTTTAGCAGCGGGTTGTGGACAATGTGAAGTCCTTTATCCAGAGGATGGCAAGCAAGCTTCTCCAGCCGGGACAGCTGGTGCATCTCCTGAAAGTAACCATTGTGTTTATCACCAATAAAGTCATCACTATTATCATTATCATCATCAGTATCATCGAAGTCATCACCATGCTTCCAGCACCACTATCACCATTATTAGTAATATTATCACAGAATTGTGAAAGAGACTGAAGGTTATGGAGAGACAGATAGACATACATCTTATGCTTCATTATACCTAACCCTTTACATGGTGTTAGGGTCCAGGTTTAATATTGGAAAGAAATAGCTGCGCAGTGTTAGCAGTGCCATGAATACGTCCATTTAAAAATCTGCATCTTGCATTTATTCAGGTTACCTTTGTCTAATATTAACATTTGTTTAAATAAACACGTCAGTGTGTCCTTAAAAAGGTGGGGAAATAAAGAACGGAGCAAATACGTTTTTCATGGCATTGAACTTGAAATACATGTGAGAATTAAGCGTTAGCGTGAGAAATGCTGTTGTGTGAATGCGGATATGTATACAGACTAGAGATGGCACGATACCACTTTTTTATGTCCGATACCGATATCATAAATTTGGATATCTTCCGATACTGATATGAATCCAATATAGTGTTTTTTTTTAATCAATAAAACTGTTTTTTTAATATCTTGCTGCATTTTGTATAAGTTCATACTTGTTAGGGGTTGCTGAGTGGATGTGGAGAGAAGGACTCAAATGCAGGAGTCACGGTGAAGATGCAGGGTGTTTATTGTGAGGGAGGAATGACGAAAACAGGAGATGGCTGGCTGGCTGGCTGGCTGGCTGAACGGCTGACTGATCTGGACTTGGAAGGCAAACAAGGTTCATAGACAGCAGTGACAACATTAATGACACGACGCCGACCCGGAGAGAACTGAGGACTTAAATACACTGGCTGAACAATGACTGATAGGTGACAGGTGAGTGAGCAGCTGAACACAACTGAACTAACGATGCATGGAATAAGAACTAGAACATAATGCACACAGAGTAACGTAACACAAAACAGGAAGTGGAACGTACAGAGGATAAACAGTGGGCATGAACTGAAAATACTGGGTCAACGACCCAGAAACCCTGACAATACTCAAGTTTAAAAAACAAAACACTAAAGCCATTCTGTTATACCTGTATGCAAAAAATACACTGCACCCAAAATATTTTATAGTCCAGCAACACAGATCAGCTCAATAAACTTAAACCTGCACCACCCTCCCTATTCTGGTATTTTAAAGAGTACTTAGCAGAAATATTAAACAACCTAACTAATAGGGCTGCAAACTCCTAGCAAAAAAATATAGGGAACTACCCCCCACCCTC